TTTTTGTTTGTTTTATATATATATATATATATATATATATATATAGCTTGTTGTCCTGTTTATTTATGCTTATTCTGTGTATGTACACTGAGAGCAACTTAGCAAACAGAGTCAAATTCCTTGTATGTGTACACATTCCTGGCCAATAAAAGGGATTCTGATTCCCACTCCCCCCTGGCCCCAGCATTTCTGAAGTCAGCCCCCCAGACTTTCCCACCTGTCCTTCACCCGTGTCTCATTCTCCAATCACTCTGTCCGTATTGATACCAGCTCACTTTCCTCAGCCAGCTGCTGAGTGTCTATGTTGTTCCTGAACCCTGAACCCTGAACCTGTTGGTCTGCCTGTCAGTCTGGAACTCGTCCCCATACCTCGGTTCTCGGCACTTGTTAGGACGTGCTGTATTTTCCTTTGAACCTCATATGTCATCTTAAATTTTCCTCAGTAGTTCCTGGATGTCTGCATTTGGGTCCTCGTCCTTGCTGCCAGCTCTACACAGCCTGGTTTTTTTTGGCTCAACCTGAAAAGAAAGTTCCCCACATCCAATCCTAAAACTTGAGATATCACTGGAGAGGCCAGGATGTCCTCTTCAGAGCTCATTGGGGCTTAGTAGGGTAGCTAAAATAAGTCAAGAGATATAACCCAAAAACTAATGTCCACTACAGAGTACAGAAATGAATAGGCTGTGTCTGAGGAGGATAATTATATGATTTTCCTCTAACTCGGGTTCTTTACTGTCACAGCACAGCTCTGTACCCTCTGACTCGGTCTTTCTGTTGACCCTGTCATGTTTCACCAAACTAACCAGATGTGACGTCAATAAACTACTGGGAAGAAGCGTCATGTTTTTATTTGGAAGTCTGTTGAAAAACTGGATAATTCGTCCAGGAGCTAACGTTAGGTTATGTTATGTCACAAACGGCGGGATAAGGTAACAGTTACGTGTCTTATCTTACCTGTTTTGACCGCTAAGAAGAGGCAACTTAAAACGTAAAAGTCCAAAATTCCGCTCATCCTTTTCCTCAAATGTATTCATCCACAAAGAGCGTTGGTGTGAGGGATTGCTCCCCGTTCCCGAAGACGACCGTCTGCTGAGGTGTCCAGTTTGTACTAAAAGGTAGAAAGTAGCTGGTCCGTGTTTCAATTCTTTCGTTTCCAGCTTGTTAGGAGGAGGACAAGAACAGGCGGCTGGAAGTTGGGCGGAGAGCTTCCTTTTTTCGTCAGGACGCCTGCCCACTCTCACTCAGGCACTAGACTGAAGTCTGACTGTTAGGCTGGTAACATAGAGCAGGTACACAGGGGAGGAACAATATGACACAGTGGAACACGAGGAACAATTGTGGCCTTATTAAAGGCTAATACAATATTTGCAGTAGGTTTTGACTCATTGTTTTGTTTCCACTTTGAATGTGACCAAGCTCAAAGAGCCCACTGAAGGAAACGCTTTGTCTTATTTGTGGTTTATAACTGATGTTTTAAGTATTAGTATAATGACATTAGTATGATTAAGTGATATAACTATTAGCTACAACTCTTAAATCCTCTTGGATTGTGGTTGAAATATTTGCAGCCTTCTTTGAATGAAATGTGAATGTGTTCAAGGTGTGACCTGCCCGCTGGTAAGAAGATACCTGAATGAGATCTACAAGCTGAGACAAGTCAATCTTTCATATTAAAGCGAACACAAAGAAGGGTGAGACTGAACTGAATCGCTCCCTGTGGAGCATGCAACAATTACACAACACTGACATTTTCACTTTCTCTTTCTTTTTCTTTATTCTCAGTTAAAGCAGTAACAATCATAAATAATCAGCTAACAGTGTTGGCAAATTCAACAAAGCAACGAAACTGTAAAATAAGATTAAACCTCAGTTTAAGGAAGCAGGAGGCTGTGACTAATGGTGATATGGCATTTTACATTTGGGTGTGTTGGTGGTTGAGGAAGTACACTTAAAATTACACAGAATCAGACTGACAGACAAGATCACTCTAATGTATGCTCAGATGTTTACGCAGTTCTCTATTGTTGTTCTTTTTCCAAAGAGGTGTAAGTTGTACGGAGGAAATGCTTCTCAACACCACAGCAGGTCAGATTTCCAGAGACGTATCAGATCAACCATTGTAAGAAGATTATTTCATCCAGAATATACAAGACATTTAGCTTCTAGAGTCATCAGTGTCTGCCAGCAAACTTAATGCAGGTCCGTTAGTTTCCTGTGTGAATTAACAGTAGAATTCCTTGTGACATGCATGCATGTTAAGTTGTTTTCCATTAGATATTCAAAATTACACCACAGCCATACCGCTTCATTACACTTTAAATGGAGTCTCTTTGTGTTTTTTGGATTGGATGAAAGGATTTCCAGCATTGGCAGCTATCTGCCTTGCACTCACTCCATCAGTTCCTTATAAGACAGTCTTTTTTTTATCCATGCAAACTAGACAAGTTTGTTTTGCTCATTTGGGGTACAAGATGTGTGTGGAGGAGGAGAGCCACTGTAGCTCTTGGCTTCCTGTGCAGTCCTGGGATCACTCTCAGTGGTAAGAAGTACAGTCTGTACTGAGTTTGTACCACTTTAGCTTATTGCTTCCTGCCCATTGTCTAGCCGCTTTGATGCCAGTCATCCCGACATTTGCTCACCATTCCTACAAACAACTCATGCTGTGACAATGCATGAGCCTCATTTTAGTATTTCTCTTCTTCTTATTTCGATGTGATCTCTTAATGTGTACAGCAGATATTCAGGGGCACACCAGCTCCTCTTACAGGTCTTGCGGTACCCAGTTAATGCAGCCTCCGCTAGTCCACTGGCAGTCCTCCGTTCTATCCAACTAAACACACAGCCCACCTTAATCTTCATCTTCCTCCTCAGTGCTTCACAGGGGGATATCAGCACAGCGCAGATGTGACAGATTCTCTGGTCCTGTTTCTATTTCTGGGTCCATAGCTGGGAAGCTCCCACGATACAGTATCCTGTCCTTGACAGGCCTCAGCAGCATACATATGCACTACCCCAGAGAGTAACTTAATAGCTGCTGAAAATCTTGTATTTGCTGACCTCTGGTGGTTGACATACTTAGGTCAGGACAGTAAAAGGTGCAGAGTTTAGAGTTCGCTCCTGACCTCACCGGTCGGACGTGCAGCACACCTGAGAGTTTCAACCAGAAGTAAAACAAAGCTTTTCAAACTGGTGTTAAATTACTGTGTCAATGTTCCTGATGAATTTGCCCTGAGTGGAAGTCCAGCTTCACAGCAGGCATTGCTGCGTACATGCATGTGTCAGTAGTTTTGCTGGATGGTACTGCTTTCGGTTACAAGGGTTATTCTGCAGGGTTCAATGGGTTCTGGTACCGGTATGTAGAGACTGTTTGCTGTAGTCTGAAAAACAGAACAATGTGATGACTGTTTGTGGAGAGAGCAGGTGAGTAGAGCATAGACATTTTTTCATTTTTTTCCCTAAAAGATACCTTATGTTCTTTGTTTCCGTTCATCATCATTTCCTTGAATATTGCTGAAGGATCTGGTATGTTGGGGCAAATAATTTCCATGTGCCTGCAAACAGACACACCACAACAAGAATGTCAAAGACAGAAAGCAACAACAAGCAAACACCACCAAAATGTAATATTAAGAATGCTTGTGTTTTGTCTTTAACAAATCCATGTGCGTTCTGACTGGGACATCCAAAACTGAACTCAAAATGTGCTTTACTTATGGTTACATACGTTGCATGTCACCCTAAAGAAGCATCAGCTCCAGCGGCAGAGTTCTGAGAAACAGCAGCTTCCTATGACTTGTTAGTTTCAGTGTTTTCCTGCTGGGGGCCGGCTAGGGGCCACCACAATGATGGGCTGTGGTTAGGTTAGTTTGTTCATGTTAAAGGGCGTTTTCCAGAGGTGGGTAGTAACGAGTTACATTTACTCCGTTACATTTACTT